TGAAGCTCTGCAAGGAGGAGGAGAGGCTCAGCCACGAAACTGAGAAGCTCAGCCAGAGGGTGAACGCGACGGAGACCCGGGGGGAGAAGACGATGGACCTAGGCGTGGGGGCCGCGGGGGGTAGCCGGTTGAGGCAAGGGGAGCAACACGATCTGAGCATGATCAAGCAGCTCGGCGAGAGGCTTAGCAAGATTACCCAGAAGCAGAGGGGGCTCCTGCATCAGATGCTCGAGAAGCTCAGCAAGAAGCAAGCTCCGTGAAAATAAGAAGCTCGGCCAGAGGGCGAAGGGGTCATGAATAAGATGACGATGGAGAAAGGGGGCGGCGAAGGGCTCAGAGCTCGGCCGCTGCCTATAGTGCCTAGCCAACGGTTGCGTTGAGGGTGTCCTCTCTTAATGTGAGTCACTCGACTGCGCCGAGGGGGGTTGGGGGGGGACGTCCGAACCACAGCGATCAGCGTGTCCCGGTCCATATCTCGTGGTGTTTCTTCTTTTAAATAAAACTTTATCGACCATGTTAGAGCAGGCTGACGGCGGGCCCTTTTGGGCTCGCGCTCGGGCGGGGCATCGCCATCGGAGCGCGGAGAAGACTGCCGCGACGAAAAGAAGGGGGAGAGTAGGGGTGAGCTGAGAGAGAGAGAGAGATTTTTGAATTCTTCTTCTTGTAATAAATTGTAATAAATAAATTAAAGGACACTCTCACCCAGAGTTTGGCCCGTCGGGCGCGCGAATTCTTTATCTTCGTCGCAGCCACTCTGATAATGCGAGTGGGAGTGCTGTGGCGCCTCCCCTGCCTTCTCGCCCTGCTCCTATCGCTCCCACAAGCTGGCTGCCTCACCCTCTGCGGCCGGCGCAGCCTTGCTCCGCTTGCGCTCGTCGCTGCAGCCGCGCCGGCGTCCTGCCTCGCTGCCGAGCCTGTGCCTGCTCCGGCTTGCGACGACGCCTGCATGGCAGCACGAGTAGCGCGGAAGCGCGAGCTTCTCGCCAACCAGGACCGCAAAGCGAAGGCTGGGACGGCTGCGATTTTTGGCGCTGACTGGCAAAAGGGAGTCCGCGAGGAGAAGGCGGCGAGAAAGCCAGATGCTGCCTCGGCGGGTTTCTCGAGTCCGTTTTTGCTCCCAGGCGATGTCGGAGGAGTGAACCTTCAACGCAAGTAGCTCACGGTGGGTCGCTGCTGTGCTAAGGAGTTCGGAATATGGTCTGTCGCTCCGCTGGTGAAAGAGGTAGATGAGATCGAGATCTCGTAGCCACACGTCGACTTGTAGAGCGTATGTGCGATGACGCCAGGGCACGCGCGCGCCCACACCCACCGTGCACCGACACACACCCCTCACCGGCACACACACACGAAACCCCTTGGAGACACACGCGGCGTGTGCGCGGCGTGAGAGGACACGTGGGTTACTATAGGGGCCCGAGGAGGGCGACACGGTAGGACCTAGGACGTACACACGTACTGGGTTGAGAGTGTTGCGCTGTCTGACGCGTGCTTACCATTACTTCGACCCGCCCTCCTTGTCCCAAAACGCGGCTCACCGCGCCGGCGGCCCGGCCCTCCTCAGCACCGCGGCGGCCGCCAGAACGGCGGCGGCGGCGGCGGCTGCGGCGACAGCTGCGGTGGCCTGCCAGCCCCACGTCTCGGAGGCCGAGCTGCGGTCGCTCTCGTTCGACCCGACGGAGCGCTTCGAGGCGCTCGTCTTCTCCGGGTAGGTGAAGAGGGTGCCAGAGTTGGACCAGCGCAGCGGGGGCGGCCTCCCTCGCCGCGCGCCGGCGGGGGTGGCGGGGCAGCGGCGCGAGCCTCCCGGAGTGGCGAGGAGGGCCTGAGGAGGCGCGAGGGCGCCTCTCCTGAGGGGCTCTACTGAGGGGCGGAGAGAGCGGCGCTCCAGCGAGGCGTGGCGCACCGCGAGGTGGGGCCCGCGCGGTGCAACCTCCTGCGGCACCTCCTTGTGCGCCTGGGGGGCGGAGGAGGGGGGGGGAGTGAGGTTGGTTTCACTCCTCACCGAGATCCAGCCCCTCCCTCGTCGCCTGGACGATGAAGCCCGAGCCGCTCCGCTGCGCAAGCCCGCCCGGCTGCTCGTCAGCGAAGGTCGCCTGCGGGCCGTGGCGGGGGCGCGTCGGGGACGCGTCGGGGACGCGTCTTGCAGCAGGCTGGCTCGTCGGGCGGAGGGCGCCAGCGCGTCGAGGGCGCTGGAGTGCCACTCCGCGGCTGCGGCGGTGGAGGAGTAGCCGCAGACGAAGAGGAGGCGGTCGCCGCACTCGAGGGCGAGGGTGCCGTCGAGCCTTTGAGAACTCATTGCATGCGAGTGAGTTGGTTGTCCCCCTCAACTCGAGAGGGGCGAAGGTGGCGTCGAGCCCGTCGATTTCGTCGAGCGCGAGCTTGAGCGCGCCGCCTGCGCGCGCGCGGGGGGGGGGGGGGGGGGAGCGCGTCGTGGACGTGTCTTGCAGGCCGTGGGGGCGGTTCGAGGCGCGCCGGCGGCGGTGCGCGAGAGCGCTCCCCCGTCGAGGCGGAGCTGCTTCGCCGCCTGCAGGAAGGTTCCGAGGAGGCTCCACGGCAAGGTCCTGCCTTCCGTCGAGGAGGCGCTGCTTCGCTCCTCGTTGAACCAGACGAAGCGGAGCTCCATCGCCGCGCCCGCCGCGCTGCTCTTGACTGGGTCCTCGCCGTAGAGCCACCGCGCAGGGCCCGTGCCGAGCACCACCGGAGGCGTGACCTAGGGTTAGGGTTGGGGTTAGGGTTAGGGTTAGGGTTAGCCCGTGCCGAGCACCGCTGGAGGCGTGACCATGTGCTGGCCGACGCTCTCAAACAGGTTTTGCGGGCCGTCGCCGTCCTGGAACTCCCTGAACTGCTGGTGGCTCGGCCACACCGCGATGAAGGCGATCGTGTCGGGCGACGCGGCCGGGAAGAGCAGGAACTCACAAAAGTCGACGTCGCTCTGCGTTTTCGAGTACAGCCCGTCCGACCGCCGCACGAAGCCCTCCTTGTACACCTTTAAAAAGTCCCGCCGGAAGGCGGACTCGCCGCCCTGCTTGATGCGGAAGGTGCACACGCGGTAGATGTTGGCGCCGTGCTGCGGCATGAAGAGCGACTCGTCCGTCTCGTTCAGCTGCCGCAGGTGCTGGTTGCGGTCGCGGTACAGCTGCCGCAGGCAAAAGGCGCACTGAAGCACGCCGCGCTCCTGCTCGAGCGCGCACGACGCGCAGAACGCGTCGCCGCCGTCGGTGGACAGACTCGTGCGCGCAGAGGAGCCAACCGAGCGGCGGCTGCCCCTGCGGCTCACAAACGGCGCGCCCGGCAACAGCTCCTTGGAGTTTGGAAGCACGGGCGCGCGGGCGTCGAGGACGGGGCGGTTGTACTTCCGCCGCGGCGCCGGTTCCGAGGAGGCGCCGGGCGGGAGCTCGAACACGGACAAATCCCTCGCCTGCAAACGCGAGCTGCGGTCCGATGTGGACCACATCGGCAAGGGATCCGGCACTGTCGGGCACGGACAGCCAGGCTCGCCACGCCCCCCCCCCCCGGGGGGGGGGGGGGGGCAGTACACTGTGGGATCCTGTACATCTCGATTGCCGACGCCGCCACCATCTCCAGGCTCTCCACAACCTGCGCGGCAGTGCCCGCGCCGGTCTGGGTCTTCCGCTGCTCGCGCCGCTGCACCATCTGCCAATCTTTGCCCCCGCGACCCAGGCGCGAAAACGAATCTGCGAGGCGTGGCCGCTCATGCGGCCCGATGGGGAGGAGCGGGGCGAGCCCCCTCCAACCCACCCGCGCTAGGTCCTGGGTGACGTAGGGGAAACCCGGCGAGCCTCGGGAACTAGCCGGGGCAGTCGGAGAAGTGGCAACTCCGTGCACTGACGGTCGGCCGTCAGAAAACACGCCTCCGTGGCTCGGGTTACACCAATCCTCGCTACCCAACGCGGCCAAAGGATATCCACCTCGAGAACCTCGAGAACCCCCGCGTGGAGAATCGAAGATGCTCGCGACCATGGTGGAGGAGGCCGTCACCGGCGCTCCCGCGACCTCGTTCGCCCTGAGAGCCGCCTCGTCGAAGGCTCCCCGCTCCTTCGCGGCCTGTTGCGCCCGCACCACGTCCATCGCGTTCGCCGTCTGCGAGTTGAGCTTCGCCACCTTCGCCTTCCTCTCCCGCTCCGCCGCCGCCTCCCGGTCCTCGCGGCGGTCCGCCAACGGGTTGTCGCCGGCGTCGGCAGCCACGATCATGGCCGTGACGGCCTCGCCCGCCATATGTCGATTCTCGGCCTGTCGATCGCGCGTCCCAAAAGTCGCCAAAAGTGGCGGCGAGTCGCAATTACCCGCCCGCCGTCCCGGCGGTCCCGCAGCTCGCGCACATCTCCCTCTTAACCCACCTTTAACATCTCTATAAGGGATCCCTACTGAGTACCCGGTAGGAATCCTAGTGAACGCCCAGGGAACCGATTATGCGTGTGTGTGTGTGTGAGTGTGCTCACTCACGGAACCGATATGCCTTACAGTATTAAATTTAATACTCGAGCCACTTGCGAAGCACTCGTAGCTCCTCGGCCGAGTCCACAGGAGCGGGAGGCGCGGCCCAGCGCACTAGCTTGGTCGGCATCTCGGACGAGGACACGGAGTCGGAGGACGAGGGCGGCGACGAGTCGCACAGGCTCCCGGCGCAGCTCGTAGACACCGCAGAGCCGAGCGACTCGCGGCGGCGTCCCGAAGCTTCTTGGCGGCTCAGGTCTACCTCGAGGAGTCAGGTGGTGCGGGGCGCGGCTGGGCCAGCCATGCCTCGGCAGCAGAGCTCAGTGCAGTTCGACCTCTCCGACCGGCACGGCGGCGATGCGGGCGCAGCGGCAGCCGACGGCGTGCTGGGGGTGGCGCGGTGCGCCATGGCGGCGGCGCGGGCGAACGCGGCGAGGTCCGACGGCGAGGCGGACGCGGAGCCGCCGGCACCGACGACGCCGTCCCCCAAGCCGCTGGTCTCCGCGCAGGGGAGCTCGTCGAGCTCTTGGGGCAAGGTGCGGCTCTCGATGGACACACGGTCCGACCTGTTCAAGACGCAGGGCTCGAGCTCGGGCTCGATCAACTCCAACAACAGCCGCAAGTCCAAGGCGTCGGGCTCGTCACGCTACAGGTCGCGGCTCTCGCGCGCCGCCGCACCGAGGCAGCCTCGGCGAAAGGTGTCGCCAGCGCTCGCGGAGGTGACGACGATGCGTGCGGTCCGCTTTTCCGGCTACAAGCCCACCGCGCCGGCCGAGCAGCGCGCGCGCCAGCCGATAGTGGTCTCCTCCTACAGAGAGACCGCCACCCTCGAGATGGAGCGCGAGCAGCAGCCCGCGTGGATCGCGCACAACGAGGTGCACCTCTCGCGCGTCTACCCAAAGGGAGGGCGCGTCGACTCCAGCAACATCTCCGACCTGCACGCGTGCCGCCTGTGGGGCGCCGGCGTCCAGATGGTGGCGCTCAATGTGCAGACGTGGGACGGCGCGATGATGGTCGACGAGGCGCTCTTCCAGCTCAACGGCGGCTGTGGGTACGTCCTCAAGCCGCAGCTGCCGCCGCGCGGCGAGGTGCTCGGCTCGGGGGTGCTGCTGTCGATCCGAATCATGTGCGCGTCCAACTTGCCCAAGACGCGCGACGAGCGACTCGTCCCGCGGCCGTGGGACGAGTGGCACCCGCAGGGCGCCTTTGCGCCGCAGCAGCTGCACCCGGGCGGCATCGTCTCGCCCGCGTGCGAGGTGGAGCTCATCGGCGGGATGGTGGGGAGCGAGGACGCCGAGCTTCTCGAGGAGCGCTGGTCGCGAACGACGTCGACGGTGGCCAGCAACGGGCTCAACCCGTCGTGGGCGGGCGAGGAGTTCCGCTGCGCGTGCTACACGCCCGACCAGACCTTCCTCAAGCTCTCCGTCATCAACTGCCGCACGCAGGTGATGCGGCAGGGCTCGAGGCAGCTCCTGGCGTACGAGGCGGCGCTCGTGGGCGCGCTCCGGCCTGGCTACCGCGCGGTGCCGCTCCGGAACCCCAGCGGCGGCGCGCCGATCGAGTCGTGCTCCCTGCTCGTGCACATCGAGATGACGCCGCTCCCGCCAAAGCGGCCGGCCGCCTTGCCGACCCACGGGAGCGCCGAGTCGCTGGCGAGGGAGGGGGCGGGAGGGTCGAGCAGGCCGGCCTCGCGCAGGCTCTCGCTCATGGCGAGGTCCAAGTCGCGGCGGTCGCTCGTGGGCGGCTCCTCGAGCGACCCCGGCGGCGCCGGGGGCGCCGAGCGTACCAGCTCTTGGGCGCCGCCCTCCCTGGCGGCGTGGGGCGCCTCCTGCGCCTCGCTCGTGAACCTGTGACACCCGCTGCGAGGTCGGGCCCGCAACACCGCTCCCTCCGCATTACGTGAACGCCCCCCCCCCCCCCCCCGTCCCGCGGCATGGTGTGGAACCCAAGCGCGCAACGGCGGTGGCGGTCTGTGATGCCTCGATATAGTTATTCGGACACCGCTCGTCGTCGGAGAGGTGGAGCAAAGGTGGCGCGGTTTTCGGCGGCTCCGTCTCAAGTTGTTGGTGCGCTCGCCTTCGAATGTCGCCTCTATTTCCCACAGGACTCGACACAGGACCCGAAAGAAATAGCCTTGCGAAAAGAGGGGCGCGCGCACCGCGAGGCAAGTACAACAGCGCACGTGCTGCCAGCGCCTCCAGTTACTGGGTCGTCCTCCTCCTCGGAAAGAAAAGAAAGAAGAAAGACAACCCACGGGAGGGATGGGAGGACGGCACGCCGCCACCACACAGGGATTTTAAGGAGAGGAGTGTGGTGCTAGCCGTCGCCCACCCTTGGGCGTCTGTGCCTCTTCCCCTGTCTACTCTCTTCGCAGTCTCTCGCCGATTCTCGCTGCAACCTTCATGCCACCTCGCGGTCGTCCCACTCTCGTCGTTCTCTCTCCTGTCGCTTCATCCTCTGTCTCGTCGCTCTCCTGTGCCTCGGTGCTCGCGAGCGTGCGTGTTCCAAGGAGCACTTGCTTGAGCACTTGGAGCGCTGTGCGGGGCACTTGGAGCACTTGGAGTGCAGTCATTAACCTCACATCCAGGGCCGGGGAGCTAAGAAGCGCACCCAGCGAGCCGGATGATCGGTATCGGGCTACGGGCAAGAGAGCCCTGGCCCCTAGGCGGCTCCCCGCTTTTGTTTTCGAAGGCGCGCAAGCAGCAGTTGGGGAGCAACGGCGCGACAGGCAGCGGACAGCGCCCTCGCGCGAGCAGCAGTTGCAATGGACTCGGACATCGAGGACGACGAGGACTTTGCGCCACGCCGGGCGGCCACCCTGCCCGCGGAAGCCCCTCCCGCAGCGGCTGAGACGGTGCAAAGCGCCGGCGCCGCCGACCCATCCGGCAGCAATGCGTTCCAAATACTGATGGCGCCGCCGCAGCGTGGCCGCGCTGCCGCTAGCCTCGACAGCGTCGAGGGCGAGAGCGTGCCGCCGGCTGAGGCGTCTGGGAGCGCGCCTCAACCCGCCGACGCAAAGCGCAGCCGGCGCAAGCGGGCCTCGCCCGAGTCGCAAGCGGCGGGCGGCGCCGGTGCGGCTGTGGGCGCGGGCGATGCCCCCGACGGCGGCGGCGAGGAGGCTGAGAGCAGCTCCGGCGCGGCGGATGCGACGGTGGCGCCAAGGGCTGGCCGACCGACCAGGGCGTCGACCAGGGCGTCGGCCGGGCGGGGCGCGGGCGACTTCTTCCTCACAAAGGCGCAGCGACGCGAAAAGGCGGAGCGCGAGAAGGCTGAGGCGGAGGCGGCGGATCGTCTCGCAAAGGCCGAGGCGGAGGAGGCGGCCAAGCGCAAGGCGGCGGCGGCGGCGGCGGCGGCGGCCAAAGCTGCCGCCGAGGCGGAGGCTCGGCGCGCGGCAGAGCGGGCGGCGGCGCATGAGCGGTGGCTCGCCGAGCAGAAGCGCGCGCGCCAGGACCTCGCCAAGGTCAACGAGGGGCGCTCGGTGGCCTCCATCTTTTGCGCCCCGTCGGAGCGGCGCACGCCGCAGGCCGAAGACGAGGCCGCAAACGACCTGGCGGCGCAGCGCCCTCTCGACGTCGATGACGTCGCCGTCCACCTTGCGCCGGCGCGGCAGGGGAGCTGCAAGGGCGCTGCGCCGGGCTCTGCCCCAGCCGCCGCGCAGCCGCTCCCTCCCTCGTATGAGGATTGGCCGTGGGGCGCCGCCCCCGCCGCCTCGGACGCCGCCGCCGCCCCCGGCTCCGACCCCGTGGCATCGGGCGCTGCTCCGCTGTCGCGGCGTGCGGGTGTGGCGCGGCACGCTCCGCAGCCTCCGCCCGCCCACCCTTCGCCCCACGCGACGCTTTGCTTGTCAGAGCCAGACGCGGGCCTGGCGGCCGCGTCCCTCCGCCGGGCCGCAGCTGGCGCTGTGGACGGGGTCGCCGCAGCTGTGGAGGGGGTAGCCGGCGGCGGTGCGCTTGAGGCGGAGAGCGCGGCGGGGGCTGGGGCGGAGGCCACGGCGCCGTGGGACGGCTTGCTGAAGCGCAAGGCGGACGGGGCGCAAGCCGACGGCGACGCGAGCCTCTGGTGCGAGGCGTTCCGGCCGACTAAGTCGTCTGAGGTCTGCGGCAACTCGGGCGCGGTCGCGCAGCTGCGCACGTGGCTGCGCAAGTGGGTCGACTCGGCGGACGGGCGTGGCGCGCCGCAGCGGGCGGCTCGCGCCGCAGCGTGCCGCCGCCGCCGCCGGCCAAAGGACGACTCGGATTCGGACTGGTGCGCTGCGCGGAGGACGGCGCGACCCCGATTCCACTCCAACCCCCCTCCCTCTCTCCTCGCTTCCAGGTGCAGCGACGCCGAGGGCGAGAGTGAGGGCGAGAGCCACGGCGAGGCGAGCCTGATGGTGCTCGAGGGGCCGAGCGGCGCCGGAAAGAGCGCCGCCGTGTATGCGTGCGCTGCGGAGCTCGGCATGCAGGTGAATCGCTGCCCCCGGAAGCGAGGAGAGAGGGAGGGGCGTTGG